ATAACACTTTCTCCTTTTGAGGCTGTGGGTCACCTGTTTTATTATTAAATAGTGCAGCACAGATGGCAGATACCAGACATAAAGTAGTGCAAATGCAAGATGATGCTGATGCCTGCGCCTGTGAGAAACCCATCATTTGTCAGGGCAGATACTGCTCACAGAGCTCCTTGCTTATTCTAACACGTTTTGCTTTTAGGATTTGACTTCGTAGCGCTGGATTGATGTATTTTAACTTCAGCTTGTGTTGTGTTTGAGAAAGTAGCTGTAGGCTCTACTGTCATAAGGTAGCAGCCTTCATGGAAGCGTTGTATTGTGAGTTGCCTTGGTGCCAAGGTGCTGCCACAGCATTTGGGGTGACCAGCAGCTGTCCCCGTGGTGAGTTGGGGGTTTCGTGGGGAGAGGCAGATGCTGTGGTGCCAGGGGAGATCCCACTGCTGGGCCTCCTCTTCCTGCTGCTTCCCTCTGCTGCTAGGGAGGCTGCAGCCTGGGTTTGTCAGCCTCATGAGAGGGTTGTAAGGTGCAGCAGGTTTTTCACAGTACTGGCAAATTGAAGCAATTGCTGGTGCTGTTTTTCGAGGCTGTTGATGCTCAAATGAACTTCTTGCAGTAAACCCATCAAGAGTTAACAAAAGCAGTTACAGTAAAATCTCGTTCATCACTAGGGGTAGGAAATCGCCTGGTAGTATGTTTTGGCTTCCTGATTTTTGGTATGAACCAGTCCATAAAATTGGGCCATCTGCTTGGATCTTCCATTGGTTTGAGTTTAGAAGCAGAATCTTCCATGATCAGAACTGTACTGTGACTATTTGGGAGTTGTGAGTAAAATGATGTTTGCATCTTAGTTGACTATCATCAACTCAGTCCTGCAGCCTGCCAGTACTGTGTGTCAGTCCCTCCATACGCTAGCAGAATGAAGTGCACCCTTCCTGTTACGCAAGGTCTTGTTTGCTCACTTGTCTCCTTGTCCTGTGGGAGATGCAAGTCTTGGGCCTCCTCTGTACCCTAACAACAGGTACAGGAAAAGCCAATTGAAACAATCTGTTTAATTCAGTCAGACAAGGCTGAAATAGAAGCAGCAATCCTGCTATTTCACAACTGGGTTTTGTAGCTGTTAACCACTGACTAATTGATTTAAACCTCAATGGTAAAGTTTGAAGACTGGAGGTATTTTTTTGTACATGTGCAGCAAAAGCTATAGGTGTCAGAAGCTTGTTTAAGGATTTCCCTGACTCAATCAAAGATTATTTGTCACTTTTTAAAAAAAGTTGGTATTGTATATACACTACTAGAATATGCTGTTCATTGACATGATCTCAGTAATTTGGTATGTTTTGTTTTTCAAAGATGGTTACAGGTACATTACTGAGCATATTTTTCTGAAATATTCATATAATTGGGTAAAGCTTAAAAGATCTTACCAACTGGAAGAGGCTTTACTCACCTTCTGGGTTGGACTGCTTTAGTTTTTATTAGGATTATCGTGACCTTTGGCTGTTATGGACTGAAAGGAATTCAAGAGTCATTTCCAGCCACTGTTGCAGGTACAATGTCAGAGAGCTGTTATGTTTTCTGTGTCACGTGGTTAGTGGTCTAGTCAGATAAAATAATGATTACAGAATGCCAGAAGGAATTTTTTTTAATATTACTAATAGCATTAATCTTCAGTCTTTGTTATCTTTGGTAGACCAAGTTCAAGTAGACTATAATAGTGACTCCGAGATTGTGAATGCAAATAAAGGTCTTGGTAGCATAGGATAAGGTTTTGGCTAATTTAGTTGTTTTGTTGTTGACCTTGATTATATGGGAATAATAGAAAAAGAAGATAACATTTTTAACTGCTCCTTTCTTGGCTATGACAGAAAAAAAGCGTTTAATAGTGGGGAGGGGTTTTTGCCATGTTACAAAATAAACTGGAGAGAGAATGAGTGAGATACCTGTACAGCATATTCCTTCTATGTGAGATTTGAGAAATTATTCATTTAATCAGCTGGGAACAGATCCAGAGTTTTTTATTTATTTCTTCTTAAGGCTTATTATCTTTGATTTTCTAAGTATGTTACGACTTTAAGACTAGTTGTTAGGCGTGTTGAATTTAATACTTGGCCTTTATAGTGGTTTTCTATAAAGGTTTCTCTACAAATCATTTTGCAATTAACTTTCATGTAAAAGTAAATGGCACAATGCATGTGACCTACTTTGCAATGTTTCAAAGGAAAATCCAATTTCTAATGAACAATGCTCATTAAATATTACTTACCAATCCTTTTCGTTTAACTGAGTTTAAATAATCAAATAGTACTCAGAATAGAAGAGGTGGGATCCTTTTTCCTTTCTCTTAAGTAATCTAGTACCTCTTAGTTCTGTGATTGTATTTTTTTTTTTTTAATCCAAGTCAACATTATAAATAAAAGGTTTTTATGCTGAGTTGTACCTTCTTCTGCTTATTATATCACATGCCATCACAGCAATTTTTTAATGCCCTGAGCAGCTGTTCTTACGGGATCTTATTTTGGCTTACCTGTCTCAAAACTAGTAGTATTTTTTGACTGCTGTTTCTATCTCACTGTCTAGTTGTTTAGGGATTTTTTTTTTCCACTTGTGTGCCCTTGTCATTGTCTCTGAAGGTGTCTCGTAACGATTTTATCCCACTTCTTTTCCTGGAATTACAATTTGCGACACCTTGCAGCATGTTCTAGGATTTCCCAACTTGTCAAACTTGAAAAAAAAAATTTTCTTTTTTTTAGCTCAACATTTTACTTTGTCTTTGGTTTCTTAAAACTGCTGTATCAGCTTGTTTTACCAATGTTTAACAAATGTCAGTTGGTTGATTTAGGTGGGGAGTGTGCTTTTGAAGTCTGTCTCCCAAGTGTCCCCACTTCAGCACGCTTTGGTTCGTGTTGCAAAGCAGTCTTGGTATGAGTGAATTTGATTCCTTCTGGATCAAAATAGGCTGGAAGAGATGCTCCAGGGGTGCATCAAACATGTTGCACTTACTAACGGGCAGCTAGTCCATGTCATCAGGTGTTTTAGTCACAATTAAACATCTGGTTAGAAATGCATACAGAGTCTGTAGCTTAGGCCCTCAGGAGCAACTGTTTTGGTTTACAAATGCACTTCTCTCTGGCTGCATTATTTGCTGATGCAGATGTGGCCTGTGAACTTTGCTGAGTGCTGAGCTGAAGCCACTGGTAATTATTTGAAGTGTTCTTTTTGTTCATAGCCAGTTCTTCACCAAGAAAGGAGAACTTTGGTCCAGTTTAGCACTTATTTTAGTTGTAATTTTTTTCTGCAAGAAGTTTTTGTCTTAGTATTTCAAACCTCTCGTGTATACATTTGTGGATGTTTATTGCTGTGGTTGCTTATTATCCAGCATGCACTTTGTTCAAAATATGTGTGAGTATACAGTATTTTGGGGTGATATTTCTGATACATTTTCTGGTAGTCTCCAGAAATTGCCTGCTGTGATCTGTCTTCTCATGCATTCTGTATGTATCAAAAAAATAATAAATACTTTGTGGTTTACAGAATGCTACTTTTGATATTTGGTGTCTACCCTGCATGTCATCTTTCTTGTTTCTGCCATCTAGATTTGGCACCAGTGTAGACAACTAGCAGATTGAGTTTATAAGGTTTTTTTGAGCTTTACATCTGTGTAGACTAAGTCAACAAAACAATTTGCAATTTATCACAGTAAAAGTTATTTTTATTTTAATCCTTTACTCTCAAGTTGAAAAAGCTTTGAAATCCCCTTATGTGTAAAAATCCAGACATTCCTTTCCTTGAAACCATCCCAAAATTCAAGGTCCCAACTACTGCACGAAACAAGCAGACATTTGCCCATGGGTTAGTAAGTACAAGTAGCATATTCTGTCATGAGCTGGATGGATTAGGTCAACTAATACCTCTTCTTGTTCCAAGGGACAATCAGCTATACCTAACGTTTATAAACATCTGATCTGTTATTTAAAAACATCCAGGGATGGATGTTCCAGTGCTTAACTGTCCTTAAGATTGCAAAGAGCTTTTTTTTCCAAATATTTAGTCTAAATCTCATGTTTCTCAAATTTGTTAATACTTTCCATTTTTGCAGCAGCATGGAGTGTAGTTTATTCTTTTTCTCTTTCAGCATTGTCTCAAAGTCTGGTGTCATGTCCTTACCTTATTTGCCTTCTTTTTGGGGTATGCAAACCCAAATCTCAAATCTTTCTCCATAGGTCATGGATTTTTTTTAAGATTTTTTTTTTTTTTAAATCTGCTTGAGAGTCTCTTTAGTTTTTCACATTTCTTTTGTGATGTCTGAAAGCTGACAAAAAAAGGTTTTAATGGAATTATTTGCTAATATGTGTTGTCTCTAAAAGGGGTATAATAGAGCAGGAAAGATTACTTCTGACATTTGTGTGTCTTACCAATTCATGTGGTGTATACAAGCATGAAGCTAGCTCTTAGGGTGGTACATTGTAATTTTAACATTGGAATCTTACCTGAAGTTCATACCTGTTTCTATATACCTGTTGCTACCTAGGTTCTAATTTCCCACCTTTTACTGTTATACCTGATAATATGAAACTTTGCACTTGCTGTTACTACATTGAACAGGAATTGATCTGCTTGTATGATGCATGTTCTGCAGGGGGAAAAATACCTCTATATCTGATTTAAATAACTGAGTATTCCTTCTTCTGTAAAGATGGGTCTCTCAGCTTCAAGGGTAGAAAAACTGACAGCTTTTACACCTTCCTCTATGCTGTTCGTCACAAGTAAAAGAAAATCTGTTTTTATACATGTGAAGTCATAAATTTTTGTTGACATGTAATATACTGTTACAGTTGTTAACTGTGCAGCTGTTTTGGGGAGTTTCTAAAGCTTTTGATGGCTTAAAAGGAGTTTTCAGTTGCTGTTTTGGCTTTCTTGGCAAAACAATATACTGGTGTAAACTTTTAGAGCAAGAGAGCACAATATCTTTGTGTCTTTAATAACCTGTTATTCTTCTTACACTTTAGATGCTGGCATCACCATCAACATCAGGTCAGCTGTCTCAGTTTGGGGCAAGTTTATATGGGCAACAAAGTAAGAATTCTTTTTATTGGTGATATGTTTATTTTATGCTAAATATGTCCTAGTTTCACACTCCTTGGATAGAGAACATGCCTATGGCTTTGTGTTCTGGTGGTTGTAAAAAAGACAGTATGTCTCCTTATTTGTGTGATTTTATTTTATTTTTTTTAAGATACATTTTTGCTTTGCTTAGTGTGCATTTTTGCAGTGTTTAGTATGCAAAGTGGCATATGCATATTGACACTATAGATGTTAAATACCCAAATATAATCACCCTATAAAGGATGTCTGATTTAAGTGTGACTTTCTGAAGGAAAAACTAAGAAAAATGAGCTGGGCCAAAAAAAGTCTAATACAGAAAAATATGTAAGGAATAGAAGGAAATTATACCTTGAATTATAACTGATATTTTATGCTCTATGGGAGCAAATTACATCTTGTGTACATGCTTGGCAACTTGCACTTGGCAAAGAACCATGCCAGTAAGATTATTGCCTTCTGCACCACTGTTTTTTTCTTTCCCATACCTTCAAGATTTTTCCTGTATCTGTTAGTCTTGTGTATACTATTGCAATAGAAGACCTGTAGAGCAACAGTCACAGTATGTGTCGCTAGCCACCAAACTTAAGGGCCAGTGTGGAGAACTTGAACCTCCTTGTAGCTGAGAGGTGCATCCAGAAAGTGATGCAGACTATCTGAGGTAGATATAGTCGCATAAGTAAAACTGGTTTGTGAGCATCTCTTTTTATCAGTGTATGCTTTTGAATGTTTGCAACGTTTTGCCAAGTGCATCTGACTTGGATTCTAAGGAAAAGTGTCTTCTTTGAAGAGCATGGACTTGTTTTTAATCAAAAGCTGTGTCTGCTAAATGCATGGCCTTCACAACTTTTTTCAGCCTTCTTCAAACAGATTAAAAAATATAGTGATTTTTTACTGTCTCGGTGGCTGTGGATGAGTGACCATGTAGTTTAAAATGCATTTGATTATGTTACTGAGATTTATATGAGCAGTTTCTGGCCAATCTGAAAGACATGTTTGGCTCTTTGCTTTTTAGATCCCAAATCTGACACTATTGAACCTTTCAGACTTAACTGTATAAAGATTCTGAAGTAGTTTATTCCTTCTGTTTATCACAGTCATTTGTTGTTTATTTTTAAGGTTAACTTTTTTCATTAGCTTTGTTACTTATTCATTTGGTTGTGGTGCCTAGGACATAATCTCTCTAACATGGAGACATACATGGCTGAAAGCTAGAAAGTAAATATTATTGGGGTTCAGTTTCTACCAAATATTGGGAAAAAGAGGCAAGAAACTTCTTTCTTGAAGTCAGTGCTTTTGGGAAGAACAAAGCTGGTAATGCCTGTGTGCTTTTAGATTGGTAGCTCTCAGTCATTAAGCAAGATGTCATGTTATAGGATTAATGTAACTTAAAGTTAACTGTTAGGCATGAAACTGGTCACTTTGTTGATCGGTTTCCAGTATAGCCCATGCAGATACCTTATCTCAGTTAAAAAAGTGGAAAAAGGAAACTTAAGGAAATTTTTTTTTTTTTTCTCGTGGTGAATATTTCGACTACCCCTACTAGCCAGCTACAGTAATATGGTTCTACTTCACTGCAACAGCCCTACTCATTAAAAATTATATTTTAAAGAAAACCAACAACAAGAAATAACCATCAGTGTAAAACTGGCTTTGCTGAAATAAATGCTTGCACAAAATTAACCTGAATATTGTAACCATGTTTTCCAGTGTACTGTATCTAGTTTGGAAGTGTAAGTTTGGGGTTTTTTTTTTTTTTTTACAATTTTTTTATTAAATTCCACATAATTGTTAATCAGCATGAAATACTATTTATAATATATATACCTTATGCTCATTGAAATTATTCTGATGCAGCAAATTGCCAAAATATTTACAGTGAACACCTTGATATAATAATCAGCATTTAATGAAGTCTTAGGAGGCTTGTTAGAGCAAATCACACTACCTCTTTCTCTGAATGTATACAGATAAATCTGAGTGTTATGAAAACTTTTGAGTGTTACTGCAAAGTTCTTGGCTTGCAAATTGTAGGGTAGGACACAGACAGAGAACTGTTGTTAAAATATGAGAGCTGGGAGGTTTCTTCAGACCTTGTCCACGATAATAACCTGAGCATGTGCTCTGTCCCTTCTTTGCATTCTTAATATTTAATCATGTTATACACTGGCATATTCGGCTCTTCTGCAGGGGTGATCTACCCTGGGAGACTGCTGATTCATCATAATTTTTCTTTTGTTTGGTCTGCAAGATAAGATTGTGAGTTCTATGAGTCTACCTCAGCAGCCCTAGGCCAAAGCAATAGGGACCATTACTTGTAGCTGTCACATTTTAGATGCTAAGTTTGGTTCTATTGGTATGTTGAACTAAAAGACTTTTTCATATCTTTGAACATAATTCTGACAGGGCAGCAACTGGTTGTCTTTTGCTGTTCTGAGTTGAAGTGATTTTGTTTTCTTACCTCACTGAAGTGCTTACTTTATTCTGTCACACTCAATTGTTTGTGTTGAAAATACTTTTGATCACAATGTTAAAAATCTCCTGTATATTTTTAAGTGCTAATAGAGGGCAGTTAAAATTTGCTTGCTTTCCTTTCTCAAAAGATTGAACTTGACTTGATTGTGGACACTGAAGTTCTGCTATCGAAGAGAAGCAACTTAAACTTCACAGAGAACTGTCCTAAAAAGTTGCTTCTGTTGTCCCAAAAGCAATGTCATTGTTAACTAACTATTCATAATTTTATTCTTTTTTATCAAAGATTTGCTTAAATTTTAACAAGACAGATCAGTGTTCTAAATACTGGCCAAATATATACCAGTTTATTCAAAAGTAATTAATGTATTTCTTGAGTGCAGTTATTATTTTTCTCAAAACGCTGCCTGTTTTGAGATAATTTGTAGATTTTCATGTCCTTATCAAACACTCAAAACTAAAACCTTCCTCTATAATATGCATCTCAAAGGAAACAAATTTTTGTTAGTGACTCGAATACAGAAATTCCTTACAGAGCCTTTCTGAAGTTTCACAGAAATGGGGATAAATTTGAGATAATTTGGCTTCTACTGTGCACACAAGGACTTAGTTTTTACACTGCACTTTCCTTCAGTCTTTACACTTTTTTGTAGGTTGTCAGCATAAATTGTTTCCATCTATACATGATGGAGAAGACTGTTCCTGATTGCTCTGTATCTCCACCCCTCTGAATTTTTTTTCAATAGGTGCACTAGGCCTTCCAATGAGGGGAATGAGCAACAATACCCCTCAGTTAAATCGCAGCTTATCACAAGGCACTCAGTTACCGAGCCACGTAACGCCAACAACAGGGGTACCAACAATGTCACTTCACACGCCTCCATCTCCGAGCAGGTATTTATTGATAGCCAATATTTCTGCAATTGTGTCTTTCTGCAGAGCACTTGTTAAATGTTCTGCATATTTTGCCTCAACTATTTTACAGTCTGATTAATTAAAAAAAGAAGAAAAGTAGTTTCTAATGACCGCTGCCTGTGTTAGGGAAATAATACTGTAACATCGTAAAATAGGGCTTACTGTAAGACAGTGTTCGGTTTTTGTGTGTAAAGGACAAAATGCTGGCAAATTCTGCTTCAGAATGTAAGAGGCTGTTTTTTGATTGCTCTGGAGAATGTACAGTTAAAAGTTTTTGTATGTATGTCATACACCGTATAAGAATATTAAGGTAGTAGGTCTGAAGTGTTCATTAAAAAAGAGCTGTAACACCTTTTCAAATGCATAATACTTAAGTATTTATCTAAACCTGACCAAGGACTTGATTAGTATGTAATGGTCATCTGGTATTTCTGAAGAAATCCAAAACTACCTTAATTATAGAGTAATCCAAACATGCTGTATTGATGCTAAGCACAAATTAAGTTGCAACAGCTCAGAGTCTGTCCTACGTTAGTAATCTAAATGAGTAACCAAATACTATTGTACAGATTCATCTCTCTGGATGGTTTTTCTCTTTCAGGGGGATATTGCCTATGAATCCTAGGAATATGATGAACCACTCCCAGGTTGGTCAGGGCATTGGAATTCCCAGCAGGACAAACAGCATGAGCAGTTCAGGGTTAGGCAGCCCCAACAGAAGCTCTCCAAGCATAATATGTATGCCAAAGCAGCAACCCTCTCGACAACCTTTTACTGTGAACAGGTAAGGCGGTTTAGTCGGACCATCCCTGTACAGCCATGGAGGTGCTTAAATGCTGCTCTGGAAATCTAATTTTTTTTCTATTAGAATAAAGCTCAAAAGCTGCTTTGTGTGTTCTTATCTCCTGGCAATAAACTTTGAAGCTGCTTTTAATATTCACACAAGCTTTTTGAGGCCTTTAAGCTAAATTTTCTTTCTGACTATTGAATCTCTATTGCTGCTTCTTTAGAATATGTGATGTTTCTCATGTGTTCCCAGGTTTGGTTTTGGAACTTATCTTGAGTTTTGGGTATATGCTTCAGTTTTAAGACTGTTCATCTATGAGTTTGGGAAGAAGTAAGGCAAGATTTAGAAACACAGTAGTTACTCTGGAAGTATAGTTACCCGATTCAGATACAGTAGGGACCTAGTATTTTACTTCTTTAAGTTCTGGAATAATAAAGAGAAGTGGTTTGCTATTCATTTAAGGATTTGGTGTTCATCTGGCCAAAAGCTTCTAAATCCCTTCTGTTCTTTTTCTTACTCTGACTGCTTTCAAGGCTTCGTTCTGCAACCTCATGATCTTTGTGCTCCCAGTTTTATCCTTTTTCTCCCTTCAGGCCCATCCTTAGGGGACTGGCTGTTAGAGTGAGCACAGACAAGCTCATGGCAATCTAAAATTTTACAAAATGGCTTAAGGAAGGTAAAAACTGTTGTCATGCTTATCTGAAATTTGGTCAGGCTATTTAGTACTGTAGTTTCACACTATGATAGAGGCATAAAAATGCTTTTCTCAGTCCCAGCAACAGATATTTGGTAGTAGCAGTTCATGCTCTTGGAGTGTGAGAATACTTTGTATCTTGCCTCTTATTACATAGAATTTGCCTTTTCTTTCCTGTTATGTATAATGGCAAGTAAAGGAGATGATAATTTTAGAAGATAATTTTATATTTTAAACTATTTTCAAACCTTGAGCATCACAAAAGCTTGAAATAATAATGTACTTAAAAGCTCTACATGCAGAGGACGATGATTTTGGAGACTGATATCTGTATAGAAAGTACTTGTTTGAATATTATTCAGCTGTAGGGTTGATGACGAAATCCCTGTCTGTAGGAGCATTTGAATTAAAATCCTCATCTTTTATTGTTTGAACAGAAAAAATACTTCACTTTCCCTTTCTTAGTTGCATTGTTAAAACAGGTTGCAAATAATTATAGAGAATTATGCATTTTGTGGACTAATCTATCTGAAATTCTTAACATTGTTTTTAATTACTTTAAACAAAAAAACCCTTGCATGAGAAATACTGCCTGTCATCAGGCTAGATAATATGCCTGCAAGATCAAGTTGCCTCCTGTTGGCACTCTCACGAGGCCTGGAATTCACAAGTGGTACAAGCAATGTGTTTCTCCAGATACATGAGGTGTCAGAAATGTGGATGCCTTTCAAATACACCACCTTGGGGAAGCAAAGCAGGACAGGACCAGTCTTGGCTAACTGTTCCCTTTCTTGATGTCTTAATCCAAAATGAAACATTTAGGGCTATTTCAAATTGGAATGAAATGCTTCAGATTTGTAACTACAAAATGTCCATGTAGGTAAAATTTCCACTAGGAAAATGTTTGATGTTTTTGTTTACGGAAAATTCTAAAATATCAACTTCCATCCTGTTACAGGGAAAATATGAATGTTGTGATTCATTTCAGGGGAGAAATTCAGAATTTCACTCAGCTGGGGCCTGCCTTAGGGCTTCTCAACATCTCTAGCTTGCACAGAATGAAGCAAGTCATTTGTGAGGGTATCTTTCCAGCCACAGTAGTCCTATATGATACTTAGATATCTTCAAATATTTTTGTCTGACTAGGTGAAACTTTGTGTGTGTAATGTGTCTTTGACCATGCTTGTGCTTGTAATAGTGCCATATCTGCATGGTGATGATTGCACACTGTAATTGTTCATCTTATAACTGACTCATGACAAACTTGATCACTTCCACAATCCAGCTTCCCCCTGCAAATGTATAGACTGCAGTCTGACTTTTCACTGCTACATTTACTGCTGCTTCAATTTTCTATATGAAGTTACTGAGTAACAGTCATGTTTGTCGTAACTTGTTGATTGGCAGATGTCTTAAGAGACAGTGGCTGATAAAAAAATAACTTATTTTGAAGTCCAGCTGTCTTGATTGAGCAGTGCCTGCTGCTGCTACTCAGAATTTTCAGAAGTATAAAAGAAAATAATTAAAAACTGAGTTTAGGCTAATGTGGGTTGTTTAAGCTTGAAATAACTTGTGTCTTAGGGTTAATTTCCCCTTAATGCCTTCCACTGAAAATTACAAAGTATGTATACCCTTTTGTCTGACTTCCTGGATTTTTTTCACAGTATGTCTGGATTTGGGATGAACAGAAATCAGGCATTTGGAATGAATAACTCCTTATCCAGTAACATTTTTAATGGAACAGGTGAGTTAACTCTGATTAATGTTGATCTTAAAAAGTACAGTAGAGAGATTTTTTTTGAGTAAGTCTAATTGAAAAGACTTCTGTTGGAGTGCAACTTTGTTATAATTTTCAGTTGTTGCATAGAAATGCTGCTCCAAGAGCGATGCTATGGAACTGTTACTACTTTCTAACAGTGGATTTTAGTTCTTTTGAAGATAAACTTCTCTGTAGAATACTCACTGTACATCACATGACTATAGATTATGCCTAGTCAGTTAGAAATGCAAAATACCTTATGGAAATGAAAAGGGGATCAGAGAAGAAAAGATTTGTCCATTTTCTCTGAAAATATTCTATAGGATAAAAACAGCAGGAAAGCATTTTTTGAAATTTCAAACTCCTGAACAACTGATTTATAATGTGATCATTTCAATCGGTTGTTTCAGTTGTGATTTTTCTCTGGGAGTTACTTCTTCACTTGAATTTAATGAACTAGAGAGGGGGAAGTATTCTTGTGCATAAATGCCTTAGGTTTATCCATGCTAACGTTTCTGTAGGTGGCTGCATATATGAAGCAACTTGAGTTGCTGGTGACATCGCAAAGTGAAAGGGTTTGGGCATCCCCTAGGACCTTGTGACATCTTTATAGAGTTGATGTTCTGGCCTTGCCTATGTAATATTTTCTGCTGCAAATTCATAGAATTGTAGAATCATAGAATGGTATGTGGTGGAAGGGACCTAGAAGATCACCTAGTTACAACCTCCCTGCCCACACCTTCCACTAGACCAGGTTGCTCAAAGCCTCATCCAACCTGGCCTTGAACACTTCCAGGGAGGGGGCATCCACAACTTCTCTGGGCAGCCTGGGCCAGTGTCTGACCACCCTCACAGCGAAGAATTTATTTCTAATATCTAATCTAACCCTACCCTCTTTCAGCTTAAAGCCATTACCCCTTTTTCTATCACTACCTGCCCTTATGAAAAGTCCCTCCCCAGCTTTCTTGTAGGCCCCTTCAGGCACTGGAAGGCCGCTATAAGATCTCCCCAGAGCCTTCTCTTTTCCAGGCTGAACAGCCCCAACTCTCTCAGCCTGTCCTCACTGAAAAATGTTTCTGTGTAACTTGTACTGTATTAGCTCTACAACTGCTTCAGCTTTATTTTACCCTACCTAAGGACAGAAGAGCTCCTTGATGCTGCTGCTAATATGGATTATTATGTTGTCTCAAATTTCTTCTTGATAGCTCCTTAAATTTTAAACAAGCTACCTATCCTAATACAGTAGTTTTGAAAGCCTGCCTATATTTTACGTGTGCAGTCTTTAATTCAAAATGTGTAGACCTGGTTACTAAGTAGTGCTGACTAGCTGTTGTTCAAAAAGAAACCGCAAGCATCTTTGGATTCTTTAGGCTAGTCTCATAATACAGAAGTTGTAGTTATTTGTAACAGTTATAGTAAGAGTAAAAAGATCAACTAGAGAAAGAAAATATATCCTAAATTTATCATGCATATAATAAAGTCTTTGAGTAAAAACCTTAAGGGAATTAAAAATATCTGCTTTTATTGTAGATGGAAGTGAAAATGTGACAGGACTGGACCTCTCAGATTTTCCAGCACTAGCAGACAGAAACAGAAGGGAAGGAAGCGGCAATCCAACTCCATTAATAAACCCTTTAGCTGGAAGGGCACCCTATGGTAAGACTATAGTTTTGAAAGCTCTTCAAACAAAATATCTATTTGCTTGGTTCACCTTTTACTGTTCATAAAACAATAGGTAGTCTTTTAAAAAATGCCAGACACTTGAACTCCTAAGTCTCATTTTTAAAAATAAATAATCAATAATCTCTGTGATTGGAGATTCCCCTCAGGCTTTTGTAAGTATTAGAACTCATCTGTTTTATCTTCACAGTTAATAGAGGCTGTTGGGATTTTTAGTCCAATTAGTATGATTACTCTGAAGCTGCTCACTCTGGACACTTCTTAGGCAATAGGTTGTTTTCTAGTTGCATGTGTACCAGAACTATTGAGGTCTGAGTAGTAAATTTTAGAAGTAGTATTTGATTACTAGTGATGTTATTGTGTAAAACTAATCAGCTGTAAACATACCGTATATTTCCACTGTTTATTGCTACTACTTGCTGTAGGACTGTTCACTGGCATCCTTACAATGAACATCAGATTTAAAAAAATAATTCGTAAGGATCGATTATTATCACTCAGATTCCAAGTCTGTGTCTTAGATAATTCTTGCTGAACAGCTTGAAAAATAATAAAAGGAAAAACTTTAAGGTGGATACAAATCTTATTATTTGGGTCTGGAAAAAAATTAAGGTAAGCTTAGCATGAGACAATACATTTTTATTATTGTTTTAATAGATTTTTGTTCTGCATGTTGCATCAGCTACTTGAAAAAGTTGTTTTTATAACCTAAAGTTATTTTTGCGACACTTGTCAAATTTCCAGCCAAAAATAACCCAGTGTTTTCGAACTGTAGAAACCTAGTGTTCTTCAGAGATATCTCCAACTTTAATTGGAGAGAAATAATAAATACCGCATTATCAGGAAAAAGTAGCCTCATGGACTGGGCGTAACCAGGGCCCTCTGCTTAAGATAGCTGTGAGAAAGAGCTAAATTAGTTAAACTGAACTGCTCCTAAGCACAGGGAAAAGTCACTTCCCAAATAAAGACACTGAAGAGTCAAATAGAGTGGAGAGCTAGTACGACTTGTGGTTTACATGAGATTTTGTCTGTCTCTGAAAGAGAAACCCATTACGTGGGAAACTGGTAGAAGGTAGGAAGGAGATGCACACGGATGTACTTCCAGCGTGGAGCTGGAGTCCGGCATTGAGCAGCACTGCTGCATAAAAAAAAAATCTATAATTGCTCCTTGCATGACTTCCCTGGTTTGGTGCTGCCATAGCCGTTTGCATGACTGTGTGGTGAAGCAAGAAAGAAGTTTATCTGTCTGAAGAGTTATCTTGAGATTTGCTTAATGCAGGGTATGGTGATAGAAACAATTGAGAACTAGGGGAATGAAATGCACTGGACGCTGTCTCCAGCAACAAAAAGTGGAGAGCACTTTTGGATGCGATAAAGAAAAAAAAGGTTTGAAACTGAACAGAGACATACTTTCTTCATACTTTTATTTAGAAAAATTAGACTTCAAGCAACTTTTTAGATAGAATGAGAACATGCAACACGCTCAGTTTTATTCATACAGTGGAAGAAATCATCATAACTCTGGATGAAAACGGTGAACAGCAGCAACAAGATTAACTCAGTGTTTTGGTTTTTTTTTTTTAAAGGAACTTTGATCTCTTAATTGACAATACTAGAGAAAGTCAGATATATATTGTCAGCTAGTGAAGTATTTTAGATCCTATACATATATTAAGAATCTTTGAAAAGGCCCTAGACTATTTCTGTCTTCTCTTCCTCTAGTGCAGTGTTGTTTGCAACCAAATTGCTGTATTACTTCTCTGTCTCAGCAAAGAATATTTGCCCTTGGGTGCGTGGTGTGGGGGCTTTTCTTTGGGTTTTTTGTTTGTTTGGTTTGTTTTTTATTATCTGGCATTAAAAAAAAGAGAATGTTGCTTTTCAGTAGTCGGAATCCATGTTCCAATGTGACTGGCCTACTTTTTTTAAATTAGGGTCAGAGCACTGAGAGTTGCAGGCTAAATGCTTTCAGTTTTCATACTGAAAGTAGGAGTCGTTCTTATGTCACAGGCAAGTATTTCATTGGTGATATGTTCTGTTGCAAGTTAGCTGGGCATCCTTTAAGAATACATGCTTCTAAAGAGATTATGCTAAGAAATTCTTCATGCAATTAGGGGATGGAGGAAAAATGTATTATAATCTTAAAAGCAGTACATCCTTCCTTCATCAGTAGATTTCCTTAAATACCGCTTTAATAATGCCTGTAAAGATTATTTCATTATTTAGGTGTGCAAAACAGGTGCTGTTCCTGGTAAAAGTACTGGGCTTCATTCTTAAAGCAGTGGATGTGTCTATGAATTTAACCCAGAGTGTTTCTCAGCTCACACTTAAATAAGAGGCTTTAGTCTAATATGTGTGGATGTTTTAAATGAATATGCTTTGTTTTCATTTACCTGGTTTTTTGAAAGTAATTTCTGCTGTACAGCTTGTGCATAGTGAAAATGGACAATAAGCAAGATCAGCAGCAGAAAATTCTTTACTTAACAGTCGTTTAATGTTATTTTTGCTTTCATTTTGATGATAGTTGGAATGGTAACAAAACCAGCAAGTGAGCAGTCCCAGGACTTTTCAATACACAATGAAGATTTTCCAGCATTACCAGGCTCCAGCTACAAAGACCCAACATCGAGTAATGATGACAATAAATCTGTAAGTAAACCTTATATTTCTTCTAATTATTATATTTTTAAATGGGCAGTGACTAATTTGTAGGATAAGATTTTGAAATTTGCCCCTCTAAATTAATGAGAAATTTTGCATAAGCAGCTTTTCATATATAACTATGTAAATAGAATATCTCAGGAAGTTTTTTGGTCCCAGCAGTCACTGCAACTTTGCTTTCTTAATTTCATATGACTTCTGTGTATCCTTTTGTATTTTGCAGAGGGGCCAGGGAGAAACTTGCAAGAGCACCTCAAAATTTATTTTTGAGAATTGATATATATTTTTAAAGTTTTGCAGTTCATGATTTCTCTTTCTACCAATTTCAGCTTATTTTTCACTTTTAGTGCCTCTTATCAGTAGTAGTAATTTACACATTATAACATCTTTCTTCAAAGCTGTCAAATCCTTTAAAAGTTAGGTGGTACAATATCACTTCAAGGTAAAATTCTTGATGGGGATATAAAATCACAGGGAGCAAGCTCTTTTAATGACCGTTGCATTCATGGGTATGTTGTAGACTCGTGGGGTACACTGTATCTGAAGTATTGTTGTAATTACCTTGTGTTAGATAGATCATAATATTATGAGGTTTTTTTTATTGTTTATTCTGAAATATTTGTAATAAAAATTGTTTATTTATTACAAATGGAAGATGAATAAAATTTGGATGGCAGAGAACAGTTTCCTGCAGTATTAGACAAAAGGTTCTAGTTTCTGATTGTTTTATTACTTATTGCTAAAAATATGTGGCATAAATACTGATGAGTAGGTAGTAGATGTGACTACGAACATATGTGAAAACTGAAAAATGCAACTGTTGTAAAAAGGGACAGGGGAGGCCTAGCTCCTAAACACTGTGACCAGGTTTATCACGTGGAAGATATTCTGATACAGTTAAGGCTGAATACAGTAAGGCAGGAGAGAGTAAATATGATTACATTGTGTTCCTGAAGACTCGTTTTAAAGAATAATAGAGAGTAAGAAATAATAATTATGGAAGATACCTTTTGTCAGTATATGGGCTTCTGGAGTGCAATCATAGTGTTCTTACCAGACATAGTGTTTACATCTTTTTCCTGATAGTTGCAAATGTGGAAACTGTATGTGGCTTACACCTGAAATTGGCTTGAGTTATTACCTGTTACTATGTCACGGAGTGTTATGCGGGAGCAAAACTATATGGGAAAAATGTCTGATGTGATGAGTCCAAAATATCCTCTAGTCACAGGCACTTGGGATTTCCACTGTGTATTCAAAGTCAGGTGTAAAATATTTTCTTATCATTGTAGACTGCAAGCTGTATGCTTATTAATAGCTCTTACTGTATGACAGGTACACTTTAGGAAGTGGTAAATATTATGTAAAGTTTGTCAACAGAACTCAAGAGCTTCAGCTCTTTATTCCATTTTAGTACCTAATTTATTAGAGTGACTTTGATGTAATGGTTTAGAGTGCTTGACTGAAAGCTAAGATCAACAATTTTCTCCATTTTGGATTGTTTCCATCACACCAACTCTGCAAATTATTTTTAATAGAATTTGAGTACATCAGGCAAAACATCATCCAGCACAGATGGGCCCAAGTTTCCTGGAGATAAAAGTTCAACTACGCAAAACAACAACCAGCAGAAAAAAGGGATCCAGGTGTTACCTGATGGTATGTGTGATTCCACTTTTTCTTCTTTAAAAGCTTTGATAGTCATTTAGATCACCTTGTTGATTTGTCTGCTTCTTGAAAGGAAAAAAATAATTTGTTCTTCTTGCCCAGGTCGGGTTACCAACATTCCTCAAGGGATGGTGACGGACCAGTTTGGAATGATTGGCTTGTTAACATTCATCAGGGCAGCAGAGACAGATCCAGGAATGGTACATCTTGCATTAGGAAGTGATTTAACAACACTAGGTCTCAATCTCAACTCTCCTGAGTAAGTTTCTGATTTTCAGTACTGTCTTTAGTTCTGGTTTCATTATGCTGTCGTTCATAATAATAGGCTCACTTACCTCATGAGACTATCAAACCCACAAGATATTTTGCCAAATGAAATTTGAAAATGTAATGACAGTAAAATAAAATTTTTACGTGCAAGAGAATTGTGCTTCAAGGCATACTGAGATCTTCTTATTCAAACTTTCAATAAACCTAGTGGCTTTGCTTATTCTCTTAACTTCTTTAGGACTTTCTTTAAGGAATTGACAGTGTGGTGTTAATAAATTTCATGTGTATGTTATTTTTCAAATAATAATATTCCTTGAGGATGTCTACATTTAACTCTCAGCAATTCAGGGGGTAAATTTGATTTGTATTAATGGTATAATGAACAGAGCATCTGCAGTGTTACCCTGCACCAAAGATTAATTTAAATGAAAATGTGGTTTTATAGTTAACTTCTAGTCATTCAGTTCACCTAAGTTTAGTCCTCTAGGCTTCCTGTAGATGCGGTGGAGAGAAAAGCAGTTAGCGACTGCACTAATGGTAAGATAAGTGCTTAAGATTGATAAGGTGAATGACCAGCCCAGGGTGCCTCTCTTTCTCCACTAGTTATAGATGGATCCTAGATCATTTTGGACAAAAATACTTATCTTCTAGGTCACTGTAACTGTGAGAGAAATTTAGTTTCTGGTACTCTCTGACTTTCAGCTGAGAATCTCCCATCATTTTGTTTCAGCAGAGTTTTACATAGCATTACCCTTATTGACAGGGTAACATATGCATTTTAAGGTTTGTGAATAATATATTGACAGATCAAAGACCAAACGGCATACACATGCACGTTTCACAAATGTATGTGGAGCTGCAGTCTGAATGCATGAGTTCAGGGCAGACTGATGAATGTGAATATCAAGGTGAGAGGGAAAGAATAAGAAAAATGGCTCCTGATTTTTTTCTGTCTTTAAATAATTTTCTTTAATTTACATACTTCTTGCTGGAGATGTAACGTTTTAGAAATTGCCACTTCCAGAATCTCTTTCTATAGAGCTTGCATCAAAACTTAGTCAAATTGTTGTGCCATTGGCACTTCTAAAAAATATTTCAAAATTATCTTCCAAAGTCAGTTGTCTGTAGTTATATTTGCAGAATGTGTTACATTAATGTAGTATCTTCTTCACATGTGGTGTTAGTCTTACAGGTCACATCTCTGTTTAATCCAGTAGTTTCTTCACTCTCATCCTCTTCTCCCACAACATAAAGAGAATGCATAAAGAGTAGTTATACTGGTCACAGCTTGCTGCTTTTCCTTGGTAGTCCCAGAGCTTACAGCACTGACAAGGAGACTGGTCTCCTGCAACTACACAGTACTTAAGTAGTTTGCCGTTCTCAGTACGGATTGCTCAAACTTAATTTGAGGTTGATCAGCAGAACGTAGAATGCCCTTGCTCATTGAAATAATTTCAAGTACATCTGTAACTGAATTCTTGAGTTGTTCCTAGACAAAGTTGGAATCTGGTTATGTTGTTTGGTTGTACAGCTACTTTCTCTAGCTGTTGACATGTAGAATAGTAGTAGTGATGGTACTTTTGGTGATACTATTTCATATTTTATTCCATGTTATTCATTAGATTTAATGACCAAGATAAAGTACAAACTTAACATACCTATTGGAAAGTCTACATAAAATCTGATAGGTTTACTTAGTGTCTCACTGCAGAGGAATATTAAACATACTTTGATGCTGTGATGACTTGTAGCTGTGCTAACGCAGCTCCTGACTACAGCATCCAAATTATTAGTATGTGTTTGTACATGAACAGCATATTTACCTGGCATGCTGCTGCATTTCCTTAGCAGCTATGCTATGAATAGCTGGATTTTTAACATATTTAACATTACTGTATATAGGGTATTTAGGGTCTTGGATGGAGGGGATAGGGTTAATATTTAATCCAGACAGTTCTGCATCATAAAGCCAGTTTTATTTTGTACTACAGAAAAGCTTTGCTAACAGCCTATGCAGTCCTCAGTGTCTGGACTGCTGTCTTGCCTTATGTTAAAAATCCTTTGCTTGCTTTATGAATTGTTGTTTGAAAAACTAAAAGCATTTCACATGTGGAAAGCTGAAATTTTACGATTTACGAGGTACTCCTCATGATAAAAATACCTGTCTGACTTAAACACATAGCACAATAAATGTGCTTTTAGAAACAAAATTTTAGAATTCTGTATATATCTCTAATGGTTTGAAGTAACCCTTTTAACAAAACAATTGGCATTACTTCATTTAATTCTTTAAGGATTATAGTAGCTGTTCATGTTCTGAAGCTTTCCGAAATATTCATCAAATAGACTGTAGGCTGTCCAGTACCTCCTTGAAGAATGTTAAATTTGTAGTTTTATTTGTATCATAAAGGGAACGCTGTGCACAAACTCTTCAGTTTTTATTGCATACAGAGGTACAGTCTGAGTTTTTAACATCCTGCGTTCTTTGCCCTAAGAAACCAAACCTCTAGGGCACATATAATGCTTCTCTTTTTGGGGCTTTCAGTAGAAGGAATGGTTTTGTTGTTTTCAACATCTGCAGATTTTGTCACTGAAATCTTTGTTCAGACTATAAAACATAAGTTTTTGGTAACACTAAGATTAATTAGCCTAGAGCAAGATTGACACCACTTGGTCAGTGTAGTTTTTGGCCTGTATAGCTCAGCTAGGAGTTAGTTGTGTTCAGGTAATGTAGTAGGTTTCCGATTTATTTATTTATTTATTTGTTAGTAATTATTAGACCTTTGACAAGAAGGAAGCAAGGATGTGATAGAGTGTACCAAAACTTGCCATAATAGCATGCTAGCATAGATAATTAAAAGCAGGCTGTAACTTCCTGCAAAAAGTACATTTTGCTCAGTCCTTTCTTTCACTTCTTTACCTGTTAATTAGAAAACTCATTCCTCAGTACCTCAGTCATTGTAGATGGAAAGGTCATCAGTTTCTCTTTGTTAAACTAAAGGCTCAATTTTTTATTATAGATTCTTTCAATCTATATGAAAGAAAAATATTATAGTAAACTTATCTTCATGTTTTGCTATGTGTCTGTTTGTCATCACTGAAATTTAGAAGAGTAAAATCTTTACTGGTTAGTTTTAAAAAAATAATAATCTGCCAGTATGAGTTTTTCCTCACCTTATAAATCATAGGCTAATAAATCATAACCCACCAGGCTTGTGGCAGCTGTTCCTGTGCAAATTGAAACCCTGTGTAAAACTGAATCCTAAAAGAGGTTGGGATCCCTGGCACTTAGGTTAAAGGAATGATAGGTACAAAAGGAGATCTTGGCCCTGTAGATTCCCATGGCAGTTTAAAAGCAATCTTACTGCATGTGTTAAGAAGAAAATTAATAAATGTAACTATTTTAGGAAATTGTGATAGAAATTTCCTTTTGTCCTTCCTTCCCACTGCAGATAGTGATTTTGGTTGTGTGGTATGGTATTTGGGTTTGAGAGATTGATTGTGGGGATTTTTTGTTTGCTTGGTTTGGTTTTTGTTTTTAATTTTGATAAATTTGTGCTTTTCTCTTTCTTCAGAAATCTTTATCCCAAATTTGCATCACCCTGGGCATCATCACCTTGTCGACCTCAAGACATAGGTAAGAGAAATAACTATTTAATTCACTATTAATATTTGCAAATTATATTCATTTACATGTCTTAATAGTTGCATCAATTCCGATTCTTTTTTAGACTTCCATGTTCCATCTGAATACTTAACTAACATTCACATTAGGGATAAGGTGAGTACGTGTGTGTGTGCTTTTTTTTTCTTTTTTTTTTTTAATTTATTATCAGTAATTTTCTAAATTCTCTTTCAGGTAGATAATGTTCAAAATCAGTGCATTTTATGGATATTCTCAGTCTGTTTAGGAACAGTGATGCATTACCTAGCTAATTGGACACATTATGCATCTATTCCACCTTAGAAAAAGAAGGGGAAGGCAAAACTGAGAATGGGCGTGGTTAGCTAAAGAACACATTATGTTTTTATGACTATGCCCTTCATGCAAAGCAGAAGTTTGTTATAATCCATATACTGTAATATTCAAATGCCATATTAAATTGAGATAAGCTAAGAATTGCAGTTCAAGATATTCTCGCATTTATCTGTTGCTTTCCATATCTACATGAATATTAATTTTTTTCTTAGATGTATTTTCTTTCAACTATTGTAGTTCTGTAAGAGGGATGACTGAGAAATATTGTAAGAAGTTGTAGTGATGTAACCTATTAGAATATGAAGTGAGCAAATACATGTAAATGTTGGGTTTTTTAAATTAAAAAAAGGAAAGTAGATGAGATTACACAGAGGTGCAGGGAGAAAATTCTGTCTTGCGTTTTTAAATTAAAAAAAGGAAAGTAGATGAGAGGTGCAGGGAGAAAATTCTGTCTTGCTGATTCATTACTTCTGTTTATTTTTCTGTTGTATCTTTTAAGTTGGAAAGGTTAACTAGAAGTTAAGAAAATTTATTGTTTTAATAATTATTACTCATGTTATATTAGAATACAATTTGCAACACACTTAAGATGGAAGCACATTCTGGATGTATCCTTGCATTACTTAAGTGGGATAGTATGTCTTAAAACTTTTATCTATTGTGATTTTTCATCCTCATTTTCTTCAATCTTTTGCAGCTGGCTGCAATAAAACTTGGCCGATATGGAGAAGATCTCCTGTTTTATCTCTATTACATGAATGGAGGAGATGTATTACAGCTATTAGCAGCAGTAGAGCTGTACGTTCAAACTGTTTTGTCAGTCTTATATGATTTAATCTATCACAATATGAAGTAGTAGATGTAAAAAAACCCCCAAAAAACAATTAAAAAAAAACCCCAACAAGTTAGACACTGAAAACAGTAGTCAGTCTAAAGCTGGAAACCTTTTTTTAAATACCTCCTCCAACCTTGGTTCCATTTTGTACTTTTTTTTTTTTTCATTCATATAGCAGAAATCAAAAGTCTGTCTCATAAATTTTGCATCATTATGAAGCACTGTGAAAAAGTGGCGAGTGCCAGTCATCGTTAAACATTTAACTTATCTTCAGCAAAATGAAAAACAGTAAATAATTTTAAAAGGAATGTATGTGATTAGTTTGAGGTGTAAATAATTGTATGGAAGAGGTATGAGATTGCAGTATAACGATGTCTTAGAAATTTTGGGTTGATTTTGAATGCATTGTATAGTTCTGATTGAAACCCTTAAAACTGTATTTCATGAAGTCATATTCAGATAACTAATGCTAAAAATTATTTTTCCTTCCTATTAATAATGAAAGATTTAACCGGGATTGGAGATACCACAAAGAAGAACGAGTATGGATCACCAGGGCACCCGGCATGGAACCAACAATGAAAACCAATACGTACGAGAGGGGAACATATTACTTCTTTGACTGTCTTAACTGGAGGAAAGTAGCTAAGGTATCTCTTTTCCCTTGTGAAGATTTTTTAAGTCTGTCAACCATGTATTTTTAAAAGGACAAAAGTAAAACCCAACCTCCTTCACAAAAATCTCAAACTTTTTAACCTCTGACTATTTAAGTTAATTATCGTAATTTCTGATGTGTGAGGGAATAGAGATTGCCTAAAACACTGGGTTTTGTATGGAAAAGGAGGAGACATCTCTCTATTTGCTGTGTTCTTTCAGAGGTTTGTATAGATTTAAAGCTTTTTTCAACTACAGAATTATAGAATGGAAAGCATTATTTGACACTTTAAAAATTATGCTTGCAGATATTTTATTGTTTTGCTTTAGAAAATTCAATAGGGAACTACCACATCTCACTTTGGAATTAAAAATAGGAATTGGGGGGTTGAGTTGTGGGTTGGGTTTTTTTGGGGGGAGGGCTGGGGTTGTTTGGTTTTGTTTTGTTTGGGAGTTGTTTGCCAAAGTACTTTGAAATAAATCACTTCTTTTAGAGTGGAGGCATATTTTCATGGTGCTTGTTTTCTGTATCCTAGTCCAAGAGGTGTTAAAAAAAAATCTGAAAGCTACGATCTTCTCCCTTCCCACTTCTGATAATCTGTTTGTTCCTTTCTGTCCATGAATACTGCCAATAATGTTCACCCTTTTTAGCTGAAGAAATTAATAGAATTGTGCTTCCTTTTCTCCACCTTCCCCAAAGATAATTAATTTTCAGTATCTTCCAACTTCTAAGACCATCCAACTTCCAGTTCTAGCTTTTAAAACCACGTTGTACAATGCCTTTTCCTTGCGAGATCCCAATTCCTGTGATTTCTCTTCGGCCCTAGGGCAAAGATTTTTCCTAATGCTCATATGTGCCAAAACACTGTTTGAGAAATCAGGAGTGCTAACATTCACTAACCTAGCAAGAGATGTGTTCTTTTGAAAACAGCCTGCCCTACAAGGTGATGCATTCAGCTTCATCTGGAGCTGAAAAAAAGATATATTCACACTATTCATACAACCATTACACCTACCTAGAGTCTGCTTGAGTGAATTAGTTTGTCAGGAATCTCATTCCTCAGTTAAGTTTGGTTATATGAGATTTTATGGATGTGGCATGATTTTGCTTCAATTTTTAACCAACATTTTGGATTCATCAATGAAAAAGCAAACATAAAACTTCCTTCTGTAGGTATGGTACCACACTCTTGCTTTTCTCTAAAAAACACTTAGCATATCAGACCAGATTAGTCTTGAAGCCTTGAACTCAACAGATGTGATTCTAGCATGTTGGAACTACTCTAGTTCCATGTGCTTAAGTATTACATTTAATCAGAAATCTTTTCACCTGAAACCTGACTTCTGAATTATTTGCTGAAAAGGCATTTAATTTCCATGAGCAAGTTGCATCTGTACGCTTGGAGATTGCATTAAATAGTTAAGTTACATGTCTGTTGATGTGTCTTTAAACATCAGCTTTAAAGGTAATAGAATTCAGCGTTCTCTCCTCTGTTAAATTACATTTCTTCCTAGCCAGTATATTGGAGTTTGCTGTCATCCAGATATTAACTAGGTATTATGCTCTTTTTTCTTTCTTCCCCCCTCCCCGAAGTAAATTTGTTTAGTCCATGCAAGCTTCCCTCAGAAATTAGCATTTTAGTTGCCCCAAATGATATGTGAAGCTCTTCAGTCTATTTGCATGTGTGACTGGTTGCCTCTGCTGCCTTTCCTAAGAAAACCAAGATTTTGTAACTGCAGGTTTTAATGGCAAGCCCTACTTGTATGGTTTTTCATATATGCAAAGTATGTCGGCACTTTTAAGCAAAAGCATCACTTCCCTCAAAAGAAAACTCAAACAAAAGGAAAGTTACAATTTCTGCTTGAATTATTTATTTGCTGCTTGGAATACTTTCTTAGGTTTCCAGTGCTGTTCAAAGCTATTTTATTATTATGTAAGATCATCAGAGGGAAAGTAATTATGTTTTGAAAGGATAGATTTCTTCTTTGGAGTCAACTGAATATATTCCATTTCTTTATGAGCAATCAGAGCCTCATGTAGGTTCATATATCAATGGAACTGAGTTCTTACCCTATGTGGAAACATTTCTTTTACTAGGAGGAAGTGGTGCCTGTTGTATAAGCATAATAACCTCTTCAGTGTATCTTCTTTTTCTACCTGTAGTAAATGTATGAAGCCGCTGCTTGATTCTTAATTATTACTTTTGAAGACAGTATTTTCTCTGTTCAGAGTCTTGATTGCTGTCCTGAAATTCAGCATCCAGTGCTTGAGTTGTTAATTACTACACCCCTCCTCCTTTAAAGA